GAGACCCCCTGGGCATCCCCGAGACCCCCTGGGCATCCCTGAAACCCCCTGAGCATCCCCGAGACCCCCTGGGCATCCTCGAAATCCTCTCAGCAGCCCCAAAACCCCCTGGACATCCCCGAGACCCCCTGAGAATCCCCAGCACCCCCTCAGCACCCCCATGGCATCTGCAGCACCCCCTCACCCGGGGGACCCCTCAGAGGATGCGCTGTGGGGCATCAGAGCCCTTGAGGGGCAAATCTGGGGTGCTGGATCCCCCGGAGAACGAAATTTGGGGTGTTTGGGCCCCTGAGGACAAGGTGTGGGGTGCTGGATCCTCCGGGAAATGAAATTTGGGGGTGTTGGGGCACCCGGGGACAGGCTTGGGGTGCTGGAAGCCCCCAGGGTTTGGTTTTGTGAGTGGTCGATCCTTGGAACAAGCCCTGGCAAGGGAGGGATGAGGGAGGGGGGGATCAGCGCCCTCCCCCCGCCCCTCGGGGGGCTCGAGGAGGGGGTGGGGGGTGGGTTCGGCCTCCCCCCGCCCCAAAACGGGGGCAGGAGCCGCCCCCTCCCCATCCCCGGGTCCATATGGGCCCAACGGCCCTGCCTCAGTGACCCCTGCCCCGGGCGGGACCCCCGGCCCAGCTGCCAGCGGGGCTGGGGGGTCCCGGGGGGCTCGGCTCTGCTCTCCCCCACCCCTCCGTGCCCGGGCTAAATCCCTGGATTTGCCATCCCAAAAAACCTTCCCGGGCCCGAGCCCCTCCCCGGTGCGCCCCTGGGCTGGGGGATGCTTCGGGGGTCCCTCCCCAGCTCACGGACACCGGGGTTGGGATTTTGGGGTCGGTTTTCCCTTCCTTTGGTGCTCGGGGCTGCGCCGGAGGGTGCTGAGACTCTTGGGGTGCTCCCAAACGCAGGAATCCCCACGGGGCTTTTTGGGATTGGCCCAGTGATTTTTTGGGATCAGCTCAGTGTTTTTTTTGGGATTGGCCCAGTGGTTTTTTTTGGGATCAGCTCAGTGGTTTTTTTTTGGATTGGCCCAATGGTTTTTTTTGGGATCAGCTCAGTGTTTTTCTTGGGATGTGCCCAGTGTTTTTTTGGGATTGTCCCAGCAGTTTTTTTGGGATTGGCCCAGTGATTTTTTGGGATCAGCTCAGTGGGTTTTTTTTGGGATTGGCCCAGTGGTTTTTTGGGATCTGCTCAGCAGTTTTCTGGGATCAGCTCAGTGGTTTTTTGGGATCGGCCCAGTGGTTTTTTTTGGGATGTGCCCAGCAGATTTTTGGGATGTGCCCAGTGGTTTTTTGGGATTGTCCCAGCAGTTTTTTTGGGATTGGCCCAGTGGTTTTTTTGGGATGTGCCCAACAGATTTTTGGGATGTGTCCAGTGGTTTCTTGCGATGTGCCTAGCAGTTTTTTAGGATCGGCCCAGCGGTGATTCTCTGGGGCTGGCTCCAGCTGCAGATCCCGTCCCGACCGCCGTGGATGAGGAGCTGCAGGGCTCTAAAGGGTTTAACAAATGCCCATCCTCATCCTCATCCTCATCCTCATGCTCATCCTCATCCTCTTAGGCCGCTCTGGAGCTCCCGGAGCAGCTGTGGCCGGAGCCCATCGGGGCAGTTAGGGCCGGATCGGTTACGGGGGGATTAGGGAGGCTCCGCTCCCCGGGGCCGCTCGGATTAGGGCCGAAAGCCGCCCTGGCGGGGGCTCAGCTGCAGCCAGAACCCTCCTCATCCTCACCGGCTGCGGGGCTGAATCCCGCGGGGATCCCCCGGGGAGCCGGAGCCGAGGCGGGACCAGGGACGGGAGGGGGACAGAGCCCGAATGTTCCGCACCCATCCTAAAATCCATCGGGGGTCTCTCCTTCTCTGGGGTCTCTCATTCTCTGGGGTCTCTCATTTTCTGGGGTCTCTCATTCTCTGGGGTCTCTCATTCTCTGGGGTCTCTCATTCTCTGGGGTCTCTCATTCTCTGGGGTCTCTCATTTTCTGGGGTCTCTCCTGTTTCTCTGGGGTCCCCCGGGGAGCCGGAGCCGAGGCGGGACCAGGGACGGGAGGGGGACAGAGCCCGAATATTCCACACCCGTCCTAAAAACCATCGGGGGTCTCTCAATTTCTGGGGTCTCTCATTCTCTGGGGTCTCTCCTGTTTCTCTGGGGTCCCCCGGGGAGCCGGAGCCGAGGCGGGACCAGGGACGGGAGGGGGACAGAGCCCGAATATTCTGCACCCATCCTAAAATCCATCGGGGGTCTCTCATTTTCTGGGGTCTCTCAGGAGCTGGACCCAAGGTGGGACCCAGCAGAGGATTTGGGGAGCGTTTCCTCCTCCCGGGACCCAAAATATTCTGCACCCATCCTAAAAACCATCGGAAAACCATCGGGGGTCTCTCATTTTCTGGGGTCTCTCATTTTCTGGGATCTCTCCTGTTTCTCTGGGGTCCCTCGGGGAGCTGGACCCAAGGTGGGACCCAGCAGAAGATTTGGGGAGCGTTTCCTCCTCCCGGGACCCCGAATATTCCTCACCCATCCTAAAAACCATCGGGGGTCTCTCATTCTCTGGGGTTTCTCAGGGGTCTCCCTGAGAGGGAGGGGATGATCCCCGGATTCCGTGGCAGAGCACGGGAAACGCGGGGGAAAACAGGGAGAAAAGCCAAGAAAACAAGGGGGGAAATAACCCAAGAAAACATGAGGGAAACAGGGAAAAAGTCCAAGAAAGCATGGGGGAAACAGGGAAAATGGGGAACAAACGTATTATATATAATAATATATAATATATAATATATAATATATAATATATAATATATAATATATAATATACTATATTTAATACTATATTTAAATATAAGATACTCTAATATATATTAATATACTTTATGAATGTATATATATACGTTTTAATATACTGTATATGCATCTATATATTAAAAAGTAACTTTACATATATAAAGTATATCTATAAAGTATATATATAAAGTGTATATATCAGTGTTATATATGAGTATCATATATATTTTATATATAAAGATACTTTTTAATATACATATGTGTATATATATGTTTTAATATACTTTATATATATATTTATATTTATATACATAAAGGTACTTTAAAATATACATATATGGTTTATATAACCCAGGACGCCCTGAGCACCCTCCCAGTGCCCACCCACCCTCGGGGCACACCAGGACCCCCTGAGCACCCTCATTGTGCCCACCCACCCTCGGGGCACCCCCTGAGCACCCTCCCAGTGCCCACCCACCCCCGGGGCACCCCCTGAGCACCCTCCCAGTGCCCACCCACCCCCGGGGCACCCCAGGACCCCCTGAGCACCCTCCCAGCGCCCAGCACCCACCCCCGGGGCACCCCAGGACCCCCTGAGCACCCTCCCAGTGCCCAGCGCCCACCCCCGGGGCACCCCCTGAGCCCCCTCGTTCCCCCCCAGCGCCCACCCACCCCCGCAGGAGCCCCTGAGCACCCTCATTGTGCCCAGTGCCCACCCCCGGGGCACCCCCAGGAGCC